AAAGAAGAAATATTTATTCTGCAAGCCAGGCTCCTCTTTCCGATGGAAAGTCCTCAAAATCCACATGGACGAATTTTTGGGCAGGCCCAATGGATTTGACAGTCAGGCTTATTCTCCTAAGGCCCAATAAATACTTTTTAGCCCATCCATGAAGCACTTTCAATTTCCCTCCTCTTGTATTGAAGAAGGGTAAATATTCAATTTCGTCCACAACTTTAGAAAGGGATTTCACTTGAGTCTAAAATCTTTTTTTCTTTTATCCCAATTAACGTACATTCGAATTATCTGATGCTGCATTTTCGTATGTCGTTCCTTCTTCCCCACCTATGTGCTATGTGCCACTGATGTTTCATTATCTTTCGTTAAATTCATTCTTTGGAAGGGGAACCCTCCATGAAGTCAGCATATGTTGAGCCTTAACAATACTACTCAAAGCCTCAGTTAAATTCAAATGCAACTAAGACAGCTTAATTGGCATCTTTTGCTATAGTTTACTGTTTTAGTTTACGAAGCATGTGATACTGTTCTTTTCGTAAGGATTACAGCAGACAAAGATCCATATGTTTAGGAAAAATTGTTTTTCCTTTCACAAAGTTGTAAGACTATGACAATATTTTGAACTTCAATGAAATGAACCAAGTGAGTTCTGCCCTTCATTCCTACTTAAATAATATTCTAGTTAGTTTAGAAATTAGGATGACGTGCATCCGTACTGTAAGTAGAATTTAAGGTTAAAGAGATACAACTATAAATTACAAAAAAGATTTCTTTCAAGTAATTAAAATGGGTGATTGAACATCTATAATTAATTTTTATTATTAAAATAATCTACAAATTACAAATAAAAAAATATTCTAAAAACAATGAAAAAACAGAATACAACTACAATAAAACATAAACACAGATAAAAAATAATGATAAAGGAGAAAAAGATGAAGTTAACTTTACTTCTTCTAATAAAATTACCTAAATTCTAAAATTGAAATAAAGTAAAACAGAACAAATCAAGCATACAAATTTAGATTTGCATGGTAAGGGATTAACATAAAAACTATAAAATTTAAACCCAAGGCTAAAATATTTGATGACAAAGTTGAAAAGTAATAATAGAATAGGAATAAAACTAGATAAAAAGATGATTAACATAAACTCATAATAACTTGAAATTAACTATGGTTCAATCAAACATTAAAAATCAAACAATTAGGAAAATTAAAAGTCAAATGATTAGTAATTAAAAGTCTAAATCCAAAAACAATTAGTTGTTATACACCAATAAGAAACTGCAGAACTTCTCAATGAAAGAAATCAAAAATCTATTATTATGAAAGGTGTTAGAATGGTAGAGTTATATTTTAAATTAAGAAAACAAAATAGTAGGTTTAGACTATAATTAAACTATAATATAATTGAAAATTAAGTTTAGATTAATTTACCATTTTTAACCTAATAATTAACCTATGTACAATATTTTTTAATTTATAATTAATTTTTAAAATATTTTAGGGGATAGCTCCGTCACCGGCATGCATCATGCTTTATAGTTTATATATGTTGGAGTTGTCGTGTAAAAACGGCAACACTTTGGCAGCAAACGAAATGCAAGTGAGAGCTGAAAGTGAGCAGAAAATTGAAAAAAGATATGGCAGCAAATTAACATCTAGATTTTTTTTTTTTTTTTTTTATCTTGGTTGTACAATGGGAGGCAACCATTTTTCTTTCCTTCTTTCACTCCACTCACATGTTATGTGACTCAAACTCAGAATTTTTTATTTTTAACGAAAGGAGATGACTACTGAACTATTTAGGTTATTAACACATCTAGATTTAAGTCAATGCATTATGTAGTAAATTACCGTCATTGTTGTTGGTGAATTTATGAGAAAAGAAGGAAGGGACTTGGAGGAGAAGGGAGACACACGGGAGTTCCCTCTTTGATGAGGTGGAAACTCCATTTTTTTTCATTCATGTTCTGCTATTATATAGCAGTAAATTTAGTACATAAACAATACCTAATACTTACTATTAAGAGAAAAATCTACAAAACATTTAATGCAAGATTATATTAAAAGTCTTGCTTCCATTTGTGTGGCTCCATGTGGCTGTTCTTGCTGCTACTTGGTAGCCTTCCATTTGTTTTCATTTGTGTTAAGATATGAACACAATTATATTTAGAATTATTGTAAATATTTTATACTTTAAAATATTCTCTTTGTAAACACCTATATATAGGTCATTGTACATACAA